ACTTATGTGAATCATTGACTCTAGAACATTCATGATGATGTCTGTCGCACGGTCATGGTGTACTGCGGGAACCACCGCACCTTGAATGAAGGTAGGTAGAGATTCTGCGGAGCTTTTCACTCAGGATCCGGCCCCGCAGGCAACGGACCCGCCGAGGACGTGCTTGCGCAATGGCGATGCCCAGGCAGGCTATATAATTGCCCCGCGACCCGAGTTATAGTTGACCTGGACGTGCAACCCAACAGAAAGCATCCACAAGGTGGCCCGTGTTGAAGATAGTTCACTCCCTTCTTTTCTGCTGCTTCCCTATTACTCCTGCTTCTGCTGCTGCGGCAGCGGCTGCCACCATTGATTTTTACTAGTCGTAATTTTTTTCTGCCCCAGACAGAGCCCCGCGCATGACCTGCCCAAAGACATCTTCCCGGTGATTAGCATAGTGACCACCTGTTTCGCAAATGGCTACACAAAATCAGAGGGACTGCTGTCATTGACTTCACGATGTGTCGACTAATGTGCAAAGCTTCGGTACATGGATCATTCTCGATGGGGTCATTTGCAATGAGATGGCATGACGTCTTCTTCCTTGGGCAAGTGCAGAGGATGCACGTTCCACACCTTGATCGGGCAGTCTCCTGGTTCATGGCCCAGGATACATTTGGGTTACAGCGGCACTAGACATCCCAAGAGTCAGGTGCTAAAAACGTGCATTTGCTCCGTGACCTCCTTGTTATTCGGAGGGAGCAGATGATGGTCACAAGTACGGGCAGAAGGAGGTCTCAAAGCACACTTGTTGACCTCATAAACTATTACAATGCAGTAGGATGTACTGAATGCAGAGACTTCCTTGAAGAGGCCATGACCCTGGGGCATGATCAGATATGATCTTGACAGGCGCACCGGTATTGGCGAATACGTGACTTGACTGCAGGAAGTTGATACAGATAGCAGGAGAAGGGGATGCTATTAGCAGAAGCAACCTCCAAAGGCGAATGACATGTGAGCAATTCCCAATACTCGCATATAGGAGACCATGAAAGGGAATGGCGTAGGATTCATAAATTGCGCCAAAACCCTCAAAAGCGATAGGACCCCCCCAAATGCGATACCCCCCAATCATGAGCGCAAGGTTTGAGGTGATTTATGTAGGTTCAGTTGGTCGAGCCTGTAAAGCGATACCTCAGATTTGAAGTGACGCAAAAACCTCTAAAAGCGATAGGGCCCCCCCAAATCATCCATGGCATCAGATTATACAAGGAGTTTCGGCGGCCGCTCATGTAGAGTTTTCAAAGATCGCCACAATGCCAGCAATAGGGACTTTTGAAAACGGTGGAGGGCTTTTCGTTGTTTGGCTGAGGCTGCGTGAGTTAGGCTTATGATCCCACATCTGACCAGACTCGGGTTGGATTCTGGCAGACTAGATTCAAGCGGCAAGCATAATCTTAATCTTCCTGAAGAAAGCACGCCTGCGTTAGCAAGACTTGCCGCTGAGAGGCTGAGAGGTAAGGACTGCGTCAATACTGCGGCCCGTTGAAACCTCCATTTGATAAGAAACCGCAGCAGTCACAAGGAGATGCAAGTTGTTTGCTGGCATGTGAAATGGTTCTGGCAGTCGCCAGACTACTGCACTCCTGCTGTTGCTTGAAGGCATTCCTACTGGGCACGCCTGCCCAAACCGGAATCAGATCAACATCGCAGAGGCTCGGGCATGGGGCTGGTCTTACATCTCTATGTTGAGACTCGGAAGTATAGTTGCCCCGTAGTGACACTGCTTCAGCGAGACCGTCAGCACCGCCAAGCTGAACACCCTTTTGATGCTTGCGATGATGTCGTCAAAGGGGCACAGTCATTTTGTGTAGTACTGGTGGCTTCAAGGTTTCAAGTTCAGGCGAGTAGCTTTGTCGTGCCCTTCATGAAAACGCGGTCGCAGCAAGGACCGTTGTTATGTTGGTCCCATGATCTACCCATTCCTGAAGCACAGGTCCACCATGCTGAGGCCAAGACACGCACTAAACCTCCGTACGTACTGTTTATAATCACGACACGAGATCCTTCTTGAAGTGTACTCCCTGCGCGGAGCACAACAGATGTCCTTCATCATTATGTCCAAATACCAGGCTTCATAGTCGCCAAGAGCGGGAGCGACTTTGCAGACATTAGCTCCAGTCTCCATGTTATTTGCCATTTTCTTGTCCAGTTGATTCTCCATAATTGGGGGTATATAACCCCTACATAGCATAGCTCCTTATATACTATAGTAGTTTCCCTTTTCTTTTCCATTATACCAATCCCCCTTTTTTGGGGAGCTCTGCGATGCTTCTGTTTTGGACAGTTCAGCCGCTCATATCGCAATTCAAAGAGCACAAGAACCCAAATTCAAATAGCTCATCGGATTGCTCCCGCCGGTTTTTGAGACCCACGCTCAGTGTGAGTGCATCCTTTCTTGCCTACCCTCAGATTGTTAAAAGCTCTGACATTGGATGATTTTTTTGCAAAATTGGTATCTCGGCAGTCCCTTCCGTCTCATGGTATGTATATTCCTGCAAGCCAGACACTCATTCTGTGACTCTCAACGCAGACAGGATCCATGATGACCCCGAGACATGTTCGGAAGTTTTTGGATCCTTGAGGCTGTCTGGGTAGCCCTGAGCTCTTGAGTTTTGCCCACGGCAGGCAGAGTTCTACGAGGTTTCTCCGCTCGAGCAACTAGGCCCACCTACCATGCTCGCATGTTTTAGCTCTTTGGGGCACATTTCATCCGTTTTACACAGTTGAGGGTTGTCCCATGGTATCAGAGCTTGCCAGACATTCACTGGGCTTACGATCAGTGATGAGGGCACAGGGGTGAATGCTGGAGGGCTGAGTGAGTATTGGAAGGTTTGAGGTGGAGATGGGTGGAAAATGCCTAGACGTTAGGAATTCGGAGGTTTGGGTTCAGGGTTCGAGGCTTTCAGGGTTGATTGCTCCGCCGAATAACTCGAGCTCACTTTTGCGGCGCTTCGCCTGTAAGCAGAGCAAAGCCGAATGTGCAGGACGCAGAGTGGAGCCCTCTGCCTACCTGGCAAAGGTCCCTGAGATTCCCGGCTACTTGGCTGCAAGCGAGCTTTGGACCACAAGAGATCAGCAGTGACCATGACCATATCCATTGCTCCCCAAGTGCTATGTGCAAGCTGCTGCCTGTCAAGACAAGACAGCATCTTCGTAGTCAAGGACGAAGCTTTGTGTATTAAGTAAGTAAAAGTGTAGTCCCTGCATTGGTTTCCTGTACTAAGGACCGATGTAGGGGCTAACCAAACATGCTCCACCCCACCCAGGTGCTGTGAAGTCAGCCGCCTTTGATGGCAGCCTCGCCAGCAAGTACTTGATGGACACTTGGCATTTGCCTAGCCAGGAGACACCAGAAGGTTTCTGAAATTTGTGGGCCTTTTGGGGTGTTTCTGTGTGGAGGATGGGGTAAGAGATAGGTAATTTAGTTTTGAAAGACATCCATCTCAAGTGTTGCCCTTCTGTGCAGTAGTGTTTTGGCAGTTTTTTTGAGGGTACGAGATGGGACTTTTGATTTTGGAAGACATACCAGGTTTTGCTTTTCCACGGAGGGGCATCCCCGGCCTGTCCTAGCATCCCCTCAGAGTTTTTTTGAATTTAAAGACTCCACTTTCTGTCAGAAAGCCAGCGCGTTCTGGTGCAGTTTGTGGGCGATGTGGTTGACATGGCCATGTCCGACATTTGGCTTCCGTACATTTTTGGGGTTGCTGTAGGCCAACGGCGTGGGATTTGACCCGTTGGATAGGGAAGCAGAAGATGTCGACGGAGAAGTAATAGCCAACCAAACAGGAGGCTGCAGTCAGGAGGAATATGATGCTACTGGTACTTGATGTTAGCAAAACATGACCACCACCACACTGCCAGTGTTTGGGTAGGTGTCGGCAGGAAGGGCTGTAGCCTCCTGCACTCCTGAGGATACCATCTCGGATGCCTGGCTGGGCATTGACACTGGGCTGTTCAGTTGGTAAATTGTAGATGGTGCTTGTCGGGGCTCAGCTTCTCTAGCTCCAAATTTTTCACGCTTAATCATTAATCGTCACAGGTGACTGAGAAGCTGAGGACATGGGCATCACCCAACAAACTGCCATACTTCGATTCCGGGGACATTGGGATCTTGACTGCGTGCCCTCCAAGGCGAAAGTGGGGAAGACTTGTGGGGCTCAGGGTGGCTGATTTCTACCAAGTTTCGGTATGTTGGAGGCATGACTGGCTGAAGCCCGTTTGCATGTGGAACGCTTGGCCGCGTCCACAAATAATTGCTTGGCGGGCTACATCGTTGGCATCGGCGCTAACAGCCTATGAGCCAGACTGCTTCCCAGATCTCAGTATGAATTGTTGGCAAGGCATGCAGTGCTGATCGCAACCCGCAACAAGGATAAACACAATCTGCTTACCGGTGGTTGGGCCTACATAAACCTCAAGCCCAGAACAGCCTTTGTCCTTGGCCAGCGCTGTCAAGGCCATTAGGCAGAAGAGCTCTGAGGTAAGGTCTGTTCACCAGCTGGCTAGAACTTGAACTCTGCGACAATTTGTTCAGGTTTTCTCAAGTTCTGCTGGTTCTTGTTGCCTTCTCGACTTGGATTTCAAAAAATACCTTGCTTTTCGCCACAGGTGGTGTTGGAATGGTCGGACGACATCATCACCTGGACGGAGAAAATGGCGTCAGAAAACAGTCCAACAAACCAGGCAAGGCATTTTGACATGACCCGAAAGCTTCATGATCTCATGCTCCAGTGTGCAACTCAAGTTGACAGTATTGGAGGAAGATAGTCAAACTGTCCCTCTGATTGTGTTCGAGCACAACCTAGTAGGGCTTGGCAAGTAAAAGTACGTCAAGTTATCCAGGCAGATTCTTGCTGTGAACCTGCTTGACCCCATTCCTGCCATGCAATCATTTGTCCCCAAACCTGTTCGTGCCAAGTAGGTTAACAACACTTTGGCACCCATGCGTTCGCCAGGAATTCACCGCTTTCACTGATCTCTTCGTGTCCGCAAACGCTGAGAACTGGACGAACGGGGCTTTCTATCAGGCGGGAATTCATTGGTAGGAGACTTTCCCGGTCGTGCGTCTTAGCAGAAGTCGATCTCGCGAGTCCTTCACATAGCTGCAAAACTTAGATTGCCTTCGAAGCGCTATCCGAACTCTCACTCATATTACCTGTGTAGCAGCCATCAAACGATGCGCTTGTTGCAGACGGCCGCTGTGCTGCATGTACGCCTCACAGAAGGCAAAGCCTAACAGCTCTTCAGCGGGATCCTGTTCCAGCATGTGTGCATTCCCATGCAAGTGTTCGTTCAGTTAGCTTGCAACATATACTCGCAAATTTGCTGGAGTCTTCAAAGCAGGACAGGGCGCTCACAACCCAAGCCCGAATTTAGTGCGTGTAGCAAATGTGACCGTCGATTGTTGCTGGCAGTCCATTTTGGGCTCCTGAGTGCCTACCGTCCTTTCATGCTTCCCAACAGGTGGCATTCACGGCAGAATCTGAGAACTCGGTTGTCATCGATGGCGTGACGCCCGGAGCCCTGTACGACATCCATTGCTGCTGGACAGCGTTTGCCGAAAGACACTTCCCACAGTGTTTCACCAACTTCTATCCATTTTTGAAGGGATCCCTGTAGATCCAAAGCCTGCGCATTCACAACTGCGGCTGCCATTTCTAACCCACTCATCACTGCTATTGCTTGTGCTTCTTCTTGTAGTGCACTACTCTGGCTAACTGTCCTTCGTCTACTACCTTCACTCAAGCTCAGCACGAATGCGAGCGAAGGTTGGTCTACGGACGCGGCGAACAGCTCTGGACCCGAAGCGAATGAAAATCCTGTGACCGTCACCGCGGTCGATCTCGTGGGGACACTTGGCCAAAGTCATTGTGGCACCTAGAGGTTCCTCCGTGAGATTTAAGGAGGGCTTTTACTGCAGTTCCATTACGTACTACTCTCGAAGTTCCTTTCAGCTCCATGTTGCATAGACATGAATATCCAGAAGTAGATCATGTAGCAGTGTAGCAGGTACCGCGCTCCATGCCATGCAAACATGATTCCGCCAGTGGATTTTGTTTGGCTGGACAGCATGGCACGTCAGGTTAAATCCTATTCAGTCGTCCAGCACCTCTCTCAAACTCCTCGCTTGTCCCGCCAGGGCCACTGTTTGGAAGAGATGTTACATAACATCAGCTTACAACCCGCAATGCTACTGCAAATTTGCCACAACTGTAGCCCTGCGCTTCTCCAGAGTTGCATTTGAAACTTGGAACATATGCTTCAGACATCAACTCAAGCTGTTCTTGGTACATAGCTGTGCTCCCAAGATCATACAAAATCTCGTCCTACCCCAACTAACTTCACCCACAAACGAGCCGGGCCAGTTTGGAGGATTGGAGAAAGGATTACAGACTCAGCAACAGCAAGTGTAGGTCCCACGCGCCTTCAGGCATCCTCCATATACCATAAACTGCCATAAACTTAAAACCTGAACCAGAAATCCGAAATCCCTAAGCCCTAAATCCTCAAACCCTGATCCTTAAAGCCCAAAATCCCAAACCCAATGAGTTTTGACCCTAAGCCCCTAATCCCTAAACCCAAGACCCTACATCCCTCAACCCTTATATCCCTAAAACCCTCAACCCTCATATCCCTAAATCCTTAAAACCTTATATATAATCCTAAATCCCTCAACCCTTACATCCCTAATTCCCTAAACCCTTATATCCCTAAATCCCTAAATCCCTCAACCCTTATATCCCTAAAACCCTCAACCCTCATATCCCTAAATCCCTAAAACCTTATATATAATCCTAAATCCCTCAACCCTTACATCCCTAACTCCCTAAACCCTTATATCCCTAAATCCCTAAACCCTCATAATCCTAAATCCCTCACCCCTTATATCATAACTTATATCCCTAAATCCCTAGACCCTCATATCGATTAAACCCTAAACCCTCCAACAGCGACTCCCAGGCCCTACCTGACAGTCTCAGCTATCTCAGCAGCCGACTTCACAGCAACGGTGCAGCTGGAACTCCAGGATCCCGGTAAGGCCTATCCAGCGCCTTGGGGACGGTTAGCTAGGAGTTAGGAGTTTAAGGGATTTAAGGGATTTCAGGGAGTTAGGGTTTAGGGATTAAGGATTTGGGGTTTAGGGATTTCGGGTTTGGGGTCTACGGTTTAGGCTGTTTAGTGGGTAGGGAATTAGGAAACAAATCCCTTCTGTAGACATTGTTTAGGGTTTCGTGCTTAGCTAGGATTTAAGGTTTAGGGTTTAGGGTGGTTCGTGGGTATGGAATAAATTCCTATAGTAGAGCTCTGCGCAACCCCAAATTTCAAAAGCAATCCCTCTAACTCGGGCTTTCATTCCTTGTTAAACAGCGTGCTGTGTTCAGTTGGGGTTTGAGGGTTGAGGGGTTTGTTGTGTTTAAGCGAGGTTGTTAGTATGTGTAAAAGAGGAACATGAAAGGAAGTGATCAGAGACAGTTTGCACTTTGCGCGAAATGTATTATTGATTAGAGGTGTTATTCCCAGCCAAACGATCAGAACATCCTTTTTAGCAGAGACTGTGTCATTCTTGTAAGTGTGTTGATAAGCAACGAAGGCACTCTCCACGTGCGTGGCACGAGAGAATCTGAGATGCAAACTGTGTTGTTGTTCTACATGGCAAGCAAACTGCAGAGCAAGCGAGCTTCTGTCAAGATGCTTCCTGTGGTTTCCAAATCTCCTGGGTTTCTTTCTTGAGGTTGCAGTGGCAGGAGGGCCAGGGTCTTTCCTTGAGAAATAGCCGGACTAGGCTTCTCCGCAGGCACCCATGGCCCAAGAAACTTGATAATGGCTCGTGATTCGTCGAAAGAAAAGTGCAGATGCCATAGACTGCAACAGCGATGAACCCGACCATCCATGTCGTCCACTTTGACTGAGACCAGGGTTCACACACTATGAAGAGAAGGGACCACATGACCTTGCCTGGGTTCTAGTTGGCTTTCTTGGAGTCCGGGGTCGCAGCCGTCCCTTCTAAATTCTGACCTGGCATCCTGTTTGAGGCCAGGCTCACACCTCTGTAGCGGTACCCGAAGCTTACAGTATATTGAGACATTGCAATGCTCAAAAGATGCTACAGGAGCCCCACTCAAGCCTAATGGTCCGTAAAGCCCTATTGTAGCTTTATGCGGTATTGTCTGCCGAAAATCATGATTCGCCCACGCCCCAACAGAATAGTAACATGGGACATGTGGCCGACCGCCAAAAAAACACATCCCTGTCGTCCTATCGTGCTTCTGTCTTTAATCCAGATGAAAGCTCTGCATGCTCCAGGCAAAGCCTTCAGAAAGGGGACCCGGAAAGGACTTCTTGTGTAGGATTCTCAATCCACTATATCATGCCCCTGTCTACTATTCCTTATTCCTCCGTACATACTTGATGTGAGTACCCACCCTCAACTCTGAACCTCACATCCTAAGCCCTAGATTCTCTACCCTAAGCCCTTAACCCACATTCCTAGAAATTCTTAAAGCAATCCCAAAGTCCTACATCCTAAGGTCCTAAGCCCTAAGCCGTGTAAGGAGCATGGGCCTGGCTTTGCCTCCAATGAGTCAGCTCTCCTCCGCGGGCCAGCGATGTCAACATCTGCAGGTGACGCCCACCGACAACGAGGCTGGGGGTGAGGACGAGGTTTGGAAGGCTTTAAAGGGGGACCTTAAGAGAGACTTTGGGGGCGGGCTTTGAGGGGTTTTGAGGGGGGCTTAAGGCGGAGCAGGTTTTAGAAGGTTGGGGGATTGTGCTCTTTAGGAGCTTTGCGGTCTGAAGTTTAGAAGCTTTGGATGTTGAGGCTGGGCTGGGGATGTACTGGGTCTTGGCTCCTGGAGCTTTGAATCTGAGGAACGTCAGGGGTTGTGCGTGAGGTATGGGGTGTAGGATCAAGATTGCAATGGTACACTTAAGCAGCTGACGGCGACACGCGCAGAGCTCGCAGGAGGAAGACTAAAAAGATGTTTTGCATAATTGCACTTATGTCATCCTCAAGACAGGTGTCTCTCTCTCTAGCAGATGGTATCAAGGAAGCATTGCGCTGCACAATGCATGGATTGCAGGGGCTGCATATTTCCATCATCAGGGTCGCCAGCATCCTCACGCATGTAGTGGAGGAGCAGCATTATCCTAGTTTAGGAACATCTTTAGATCTCTGTCAAGAAAGGCTCAGCTAAACAGAGCTGCTGTCATCCAGGGCATGCCTTTAACCCCACCGCTAGCTCCGCAGGCTGGAAGAATGAACATGGTGGAAGTGTCGCTTGCCATGCAGTTTCAAGCGTCCTCAGAGGGCACAACAATTCCCCGTCCCAGTCTTTGGCGAAAATCGGCGTCAGTTGATGCTGCGGTTTGAAGTGTGAGTGCTCAAGACAGTTTCTTGAAAGTCCGCTGAGAGCCAGACTTCAGGCTCCCACAGAGGTTCCATGATAGGTATTGGCAGAAAAGCATGCTATCACACAAGGCAAGCCTCCTTCCATGCACAAATAAAAGGCTTTCAAGTCAACAAAAGCGGTCGCAGCGTGTAGAAACTGATGCTCTGCACTGAGGTTCCGCTCTCGGCTTGTGGACCAGACTGTGCCAGTGAAGATCCAGCAGTGCTTAAGCAGAAGATAGTAAACAAAGGTTTCCATGTGTTCCGGATGCTGTATGACTGCAAGGCATGTTCATGGGGATGGAGCAAACACTAGCTAGCCTCCTTGGCCAGATCCTCGCTCCATATCGGATAAATGCCAGGTGGGCGCAGATGGTTCCTCTTCCCATCAGCCGACTTTTGAATGGAATCCCTACGCGCTTCAGAGTAGAGTTTCATGTTCATTATTTTGTGGCCTTCGGCGTCCTGCTTTCCCCAGGACTGTTGTAACATAAGACGCTCTTCTGCAGGCAGGCACACCCGTTGATGTCATGCTCAATGGTGAGTTTTGCAGCGTTTTAGGACCTTTGTCAATTCCCAAGCCTTTTACAAAGTACTGCCCGTCAACCCACATCTGCATGAATATGGAGCTCCTCCAAATCACAACTCCAAGCAAGTGCCTACGCCATGTTTGTGGAGCCAGAAGACATGTCAATGTGCCGTCCAATCCAAGGGCGAGAGCCGAAACTATGAAGCCTTGGCCCCAAACCTCCTTCAACAGCTGCAGTCATTCTTAAGAAGATGCATAGAAGCCCCGAATGAAGACAACACTCATGGGAGGAAGACGTTAAACCCCCAAGACCCCTAGCCATTCACATTCCCTACTCCCCATCTAGAAGCTACCACAGTTACCAAGTAAAGGCTGTGTACCGAAGCAGGTCGCAGTGGGGAGGCCATCGCCAGGATTATCGAACCTGTGGCCTTCGGCAGGCCCAGTAGTGCCCTTTTCCCTTTTTATTTTGGGGTCTCCTTATTAAAGCTGACCATTAGGAAAAAGGGTACCCTTTTCATTATGGGCTTACTGGGGAATTTAGTATACAGTAGCTTGAATGTTTGGGATTCGGCCTTACTCCTCAGGCTCAGTTGAGGTTAGAAGCTACGTTTGTTTTACACTTGCACTTGGACTTGTGCAAAAGGACTTGAGTGAAGCAGCCAGCATTGCTGGAGGTTTTTCTTTTTGTTGGCAGCGTGACGTATTAGAAATGCTGCAGTTGTGCAAGTTTGCATAGTGCAGGTGGCAAGGAGCGGTTCCTACATGTCGGCATTCGCACAGGTCGAACTGCTGGACGTTGCGATAGAACATGAGTTGGAAGAGATCGCAAGTGTCACAGGGTTTTTCTCAACTTGTCCTTGAAGCTAGCTTGCACAGCCGGGCTTTTTATGTCTTGAACGATTGCAGTTTTCTGGTCTGAGCTAGAGGATA